TGCTTTCTTCTTTGATTCAACTTCCACCCGTACCTCATCATCCCACCACAACGTATTACTTTTCCTTTCATTTGTTCTCTTACTTACACCACATACTTCGGTGGCTGCATCCACCAAACCTTTCTTAATATTATCCCACACTGTATTCAAGTCTAAATCATTCATACACAACTCATTCATACCTCTAATATTTTCTCTCAGTCTACATTTATACTTCTCTTTCACATCTTCATCTTGTAACTTCTCTATTCTTATACGCTGTAACGCAGTAGTAGACACAGATGTCCGATGCCGCCAACGCTTGAAAAGACCATTAATTTGACATAAGACCAAGTAATGATACGTCCCCACGTTGGACCCCCGGTAAACCCTTGTATCTACGACTGCGCTTCTCATTCTTTCATCCACAATTACAAAATCTATCATGCTTCTATCATCACCTCTTTCCCATGTATACATGTGAATCTTCTTATGACGAAAAAAAGTATTCGTCACAAAAAGATTCTTTTCCACACATATGGTGAGGAGGTCTTCACCATTCTCATTTATACTTTCATCACCAAACGTTCCCAATATCCTTTCATAACCAGACCTCTTCACCCCAACCGTTCTATTAAAGTCTCCTAACATAATAATATTTTCATTTTCCTTACAATTTGTCAACACCATCCTTACCATGTCCCAAAACTGCTCTCGGATGTAAGTGGGCTTAGACATGTCTGGGGCGTACACCCCTAGCAGGAACAGCTTTTTTAAGCACACTTTCATTTGTATCCATAGCAGTCTCGGGTTTACACATTCATACTCTTTCACACATTGACCCATTCTTTCTGAAAGGATGAAACCGACTCCCTGGCATGCCCGTTCGGTCTCGTCTACACCAGACCAATACGCGGTATACGTGCCATGTGCATTGGCATCGTTTCCCTTTCGTTTCGTCTCATTTACACATAACACATCTATTACTCTGTCATTCATCATTTCGCATACTTCATCCATCTTATCATTTTCTCCACATACATTCAGCGTAGCCAGACGGGTTTCCGCAATCCACTTTTCACCCCCTCCGGGAACAGAACGTGACGGGTGGCGAACCTCGCCGCCGGTTTTTCTCCCGGAGATTCTTCGCACCCCTGCCCCATTAAAGGGGCGCCGGGAACTCGGGGCCATTTCTTTTATTTCCTGACTCATGGTGCGAACAAGGGGTGGTGGTAGATTTTACGCCGCTACCATACGGCGAGGAGCCGAGTCTATTTTTTCGGCTTTGTCGCTCGTTTAGCACCACCCGGGGGACACGTGTAGGGTGGGCCTAAGGTTAGGTGGTCGAAGCCTACGGACGCGAGCGACTCATCCCCCTACATTTATATTGTATTTAAGAAATCAACAAAAAATAATCTTTTATTAAAGCAATTACTTATATTTGGAAAAAAAATTGGTCTATTTTTGCTTATTTTTTACCAAAACATATCTTCTTGATAACTTCATCGCGTATTTAACGTAAATTTGCAACAATATCGCATGACTCCATTGTATTGGGCCCATTTAATACAAATATCTACGCTATTCAGGGTTTCTTTGTCTGATGAAATGTCCGGCTTACTAACACTCTTTAATCTGGCCAGACTAAAGAGTGCCGTGCACCCTGAGCACCGTGCGGCGGAGTATAGAATTCTGTTCGTCTAACGCATGAAAGAGAGGTAAGACGGCGGATAATCGAGTCGTTGATGAATGACTTTCAGTGTCGGCAGATTACCTAGTTTAATCAAGACCAAACTTCAGTCCAAAAAATGGCTGATTATAGTACCTACTTGTCGGATAATCGAGCGGCGGATTAGCGAGAGAGTACTGTAATAGTACCAAAATAGTTCTATTATACTTATAGTACGTTACTTTACATAGACAGGATCAGCGGCGACCCTAGCAAAATATTAAGGCGGTGCGAGATCACATAGTGGGGCTCCTCTTAATACAAAACCTTAATGTTTTATATATTATGCATTTGCTTTTTCGTGATTTTAAATAGTATTAGACTTATTCAATATCTACAGGTGTATATGCGGGGCAAGCACAGTTGTGTCTGTTGCTCTTATCATAGCAGTTCTGCTTATTCGCGTTAAAGAAATGTTACAAAAAGGAATTATTTTCATTTTGTATAAAAATGAACACGTATCATAGAATTAAAAAAAAATTTAATCAAGTAACCAATGCACTTTTAATTGTATCAATCACAGGGTAAAAAACATTAATTTTAAACAATTCTTTAGGATCGATTGGTGTCTCACCTACGGCTTCGTACATAAATAATATTTTCTTTCTTCGGGTTCGGGCTGGTTTAAAATTGGATCTACCTGTTATAAAAGCAGATGAAAAGGCTCGGTACTGTTTCAAAATTCTGACAAATATTTCAAACAATACGAAACCTTTGGTAAATCCATAGATTCATACTGCATAGCTTTTTTTGTGCGAGCAGCTATGCAGATCTGGGGAAAGAAACCTGTATCACTGTGCCCTAAAAGATCCATTGTGATCGCTGCTATGGCTATAGTTCACTACTATGCTTCAATGACAAAACAACTCCAAAGTTGCTTAGTCTTTCTTAGTTTATTTTTCTTCAATGAATAGGAGTTGCTTAGCGGTGAGCAATTTCACTTCTTCTGGGCGAAGTAAATATTTTCTCAGATGTATTACATTTGCGCATTAAGGGTCCACGACCAGTCAGAATGTGCAGAGGCGTTTCTTCCGTTAAGGAACAAACCTTGAGTTGCTTAGTCCCAGGATGGCCATGTGCTTTTTAAGACAACAGTGTCAGTCAAATTTCATTTTCTACCCAGCTTGAGAAAACCCCCGGAATTAAAAAAAAGCTTTTTGGATCAAAAAAAGTTGTTCAAATTTGTCTTTAGTAAGAAAAAGGGAAGGTGTTATAAAAAAGTTGCAGCGGCAGCAAAAATAAACATGGGCACCAGGTAAGATGGTAATTCGCAAGCATGTCTAATTACGACTATATCCCTTTTGTGCAAGGTGTTTGAACGTTTGATTCGATCCAAAATTGCACCCTACATGTGGATTGACGATGGTCAGTTTGGTTTTCGACCAGAGCTATCTACTGATATGGCTATTTTTACTTTAAAACAAGTAGTAAATTACTATGTTAATCGCGATACTAGTGTATATGCCTGCTTTCTTGATTTGAGTCGCGCTTTCGACTCCTTGAGTCATGACCTGCTATGGAAGAAGCTAAGATCTAATAACGTTCCTACTGGTATTGTTGAGCTGCTCACCTATTGGTATAAGAGACAGATCAACAATGTTAAAAGGGGTGACTCTCTGTCCGATGACTACTCGCTGATTTGTGGAGTATGGCAGGGGGGGCTAACCTCACCCGACTTCTTTAACATCTATGTGAATGACTTGATCGTCTAGCTGAGCAGAACCCCAGTCGGACTTAGGCTTGGTAACCGTTACGCTAACAACCTAAGTTACGCTGACGATATGGTTTTGCACTTTCCTACAATCAAAGGTATGCGGAAATTAATATCAATATGCGAAAAATTTTGCAAAAAAGACGGAGATGATGATTTTTAAGGCGGGTAAGGGCCTAACTAATGTACCTGAGGCGCACGTGGTGGGTCAACGTGTTAAAATAGTTCAAACGTTAAAATACCTCGGTCACATAGTGACAGCGAACAGAAAAGATGATTGTGATATAGAACGATAGAAAAGAGCTTTGTCTGTCTGTGGCAATATGATTGCCAGGAGGTTTGTTAAAGCCTCCAAGGAGGTTAAGACTATACTCTTCCAAATGTACTGTCAGTCTTTCTACAACTGCCAGCTCTAGATGCAGGGCGATCTTTGAATGGTATTCGTGTGCAATATAATAACATCTTTAGAATGCTTATGGGTCTCAAACGCTATTTCAGTGCTTCAGGCATGTTTGCCGAAGCACGAATTAATACGTTTAATGCCATTCAAAGATTCAGAATCGCATCATTCATGTCCAGGGTTGGTGAGTGTAGAAACAAGATAATTAGTGAGTTTGCGGTAAGACTGCCGGCCACAGCCTTTTATCAAAAATGGCTTAAGATAGCCGCTTGACATGATGGTTCCCTCCATTTAGACGTAGATATTATTATATTATATTATAATTTATACAATACAGTACAGAATTACTAAAAGTTAATAATTTATAATTTTCAGTAATCTGTACTTATAGAGTACATAATTACAAATCAAAATTTGTCACTCGTTTTTGGACTGTCGGGTCGTCTATACCTCAGTATATTCTGAATCTCTGCTTCGAAAGAATCAGCCAATGAATTTTAAGATAATGTTTAGAGTAATTACATACAATAGTAATTACTCTGAGTGGTAATGGGAAGACAAGGTTATTTTTTATAACATTTTTGATGTCTTCCTTTGTGAGTTACAAAGCCTTTTAGCCAACGCCATATGAAAAATAATTTCTTGATGTGATTTATCATCATTCACCACCAACATCGTCAGTCCCGCACGTCGGTGGCCGCCCGTATTGCTTTATGGTCATTACACCCTCAAAAAGTCATTCTCATTTTACTCAGCTGCAACTTTGTGAAAGACAGGTCAAAGTAAATAAAAATTTCAATTTTCGAGTGTTAGGGCTAACTTATTGGAAAACTTGTGAAGATGGAAGAGAATGATGATAAATCACCTACATTTTCTCGCACCGACAAAAGACCATCAAGTAAAGAAAAAAATACGTGCGAATTATAAAAGTTCATTTCACCGTTTACTTCTCCTCTTAGTTAATTGCTTACGCTCGTCATACAAAATAGTTTTTGTTTATTTCTAATTCTTTAAACACGCCTTTTTAAATCAAGAATTTTCGGAGATTAATTTGATGTATTTAGGGCAATTGTCAGAAAAATGTAGGGCAAAATTACAATCTGATAGTGGAAACACTGCTGTCCTCTGTCATTGTCAGTTCCTCTTCTAAATTTTAGGTTATAAAAAATATAAACAAAACAATGTTTAGAAAAATTAAAATATATCATTTTTCGTCGATTTATTCTAACTACTCTACCAAGGTGGAAATTGACGCTAGATTAAGGGGGAATTTTGAGTCAAAAGAATACAAACCACGCAATCATCCAGGGCGAACGAAAGTCAAAGTAGCTACCATACCTCCGGACATTCAAAAAGGAATAAAAGTTATACTAGAAGATGCTGGTGCTAAAGCGTTTTATCACGAGAGTGAGGACCTTCAGAATTATCTCCGTTCGCGTAGATTACCACCAGAAGAGGGAGAAATAAACGAAAAAGCAGCAAAGATTTACAAAACAGTGTCAAATAAAGTTTTCACTGAAATCAACAAAGACGAAAAGAAATTAACACGAGAAGAGATTGAACATTACAATAAGAAAATTCAAAACACAGTATTTAATGTTTTAAAGAAGAATGTCTACCGTTGGGCCAATATTTCATATGACAAACCAACATGTCTGCAATATCTTATGGTTAGAGCAGCCCCTGAGTATGCGATCTTGGTGCGAATACTAGACGAAATTAAGAGAAAATTGCCTGATTACAAACCTAGAAGCTTCTTTGACTTTGGCTCTGGTGTTGGAACTGGTACATGGGCAATAAACTCATATTGGAAAGGACATATCTTTGAGTACTTTTCTGTAGACACATCGGTACATATGAATGATTTAGCGCGTCTCATACTCTGTCAGGGCAAAGATAATGTTCAATTACCTTTCAAAGGTTATTTTCAAAGACAGTTTCTACCAGCTTCTACAGATTTAAAATATGATATAGTACTTTCTGCATTTTCTTTATTTGAATTACCAAATATGAAGAGTCGACTAGAAACTATTCAAAAATTGTGGAATAAAACTCAAGACTTCCTAATAATTGTGGAACAAGGCACAAATGCAGGATTTCAAATTGTAAATGAGGCGAGAGAATTTGTTTTAAACACAGCTGATAGCCATAACAAAGGCTATGCTTTTGCTCCATGCCCAAATGATAGTGTGTGTCCTAGGTATTTGGAACATGAAACTCCATGCAATTTTCTCATGAAGTATGAATCATTACCATTCCCATCCAAGACAGAAGTACTAGCAGATGTATTTTCATATGTAATTTTAAGGAAAGGTGAACGTCCAGCAGATGATCCACTGTGGCCACGCATTGTCCGTGCACCTATAGTTCGTTCAGGGCATACAATATGTAGACTGTGCACAGCGCAAGGGGAGCTTAAGGAAATAATTTTTTCAAAAGGCAAACATGATCAGATTACGTATAGGTGTGCAAGATCGAGCAATTGGGGGGATTTGTTACCTGTGAAATAAATATCTATGATTTATATTGCTTGTTATTTCCTTTGTTAATTGTGGATAGATGTAGGTGTCTATGTCCTCTTTTATCACCTTTATATGAAAACTTGTTCTTTTGCGATATAAAAATTACAACTATTTGTGATAACACAAACAGATCAAATCATGGTTGTGGGACCAACATTTGTGCAAACGTTGGTTCTTTAGTTTTTAAACCTAAGTATACAACTACGTTTATTTTAAATAAATTTTAGTTTACAAACTACCTGATATATTATACGCTCTACCACATAGATATTTTATATGTGGTAGAGCCATGCTATAGGTATATTAGTAGTATAGTTGTACCATGAATGGGTTGGCTCGACCGGGAAAGACCACAATCTCAAAAAGTACCAGTGTAAAATAGTAGCTTAATGCTGCTGTGGTTTGTATGGTGAATATAGAGACCCAGAGACCCTTTTTACTGGAAATGAGGCATTCCATCTTAGTACTCACGGGTGACAACGCATCTGCATTTTGATTCGTAATTGAGGTTAGATGTAGATGTCTATGGGCCACAGCAACCACTCACCATCAGGTAGACTGCTCGTTTGTCACCCCACCCTATAAAAAAAATAGTCTACTTGATGGTTATTGGCTACTGTAGTCTGTACTGTACTGTAGTCTCGTAACCTGTAATTGTACTGTCTTTCTGCGCCCTTGAGATGGCGACACAGCAGAAAACACTGCTCCTTCCATCAGAAATAGATAAGAGGGTCGCATCTAGTCCGACGATCTTCTATGCTCCTCCAGAATCCTAATTTCTAGTAGGTACACTACTTGTTTACCCAGCGGTGATTTTTTTAAATTAATACTGATAATATGTATTTTTTTATAGGATAGGGTGACAAATGAGCACACAGTCCACTTGATGGTGACTTGGTTGCTGTGGCCCATGGACATCTACATCTATCCTCGGTTACGAATTAAAATGCAGATGCGTTGTCACCCCTGAAGACTAAGATGGAATACCTCGTCTCCGGGGGGGTCTCCGGTTCTCTATACTCACCATACGAAACATACCATTTTACGGTGGTATTCTGTGAGAGCGTGGTTCTTCTCCGGTTAACCCATTCGTACTACAACTATACTACTAATATAACTGCAGCGTGACTCTACCATTATTTTGAAACCAAGATATTCC